TGAACTCATTCTTTAAGGTCCTCCATCTTCCTATAGCTTTGTCATTGGTACCAATATGAACCATAACAGCTGGGTCATCTCGAACCCCTCCCATTAATCCATCCACTATGTCAGCAAAATGCCGGACCCGAGCACCCGGGAGACCGCAAACAATCCGGTTGAGATGATCAGAGCGGCAGATTGCCCTATCTACTCTTGTAATAATAGAGTCCCATACCACCACAACCAGTCTAGCCTTTCTTATGTTTTTAACTCCACCCATACTAGAGGGGCTTTTCCCTCAGCTAAGAAACTGTTTCCTCTCGTAAAGCTACTTCTGAGCTGATGTTCTCAACATCTTCACTTAAACAGGCAAATCTGCTAGGTTGCACAAAGTCAGGACTAGCTAGCCCTTTTCTCTTCCCTCCCCTACGCTACCTCGCCCAACTGTCACCCAGCTATGTGTCGGTTCCCCAGCTGTCTTATCTCCTCCCACTCCACTACCTGCACCCACTAAACTCTGCCCTTGATAGTGGACCCTTGATAGTTTCAACTCCTGTTTTTTTAATGCCTACTTGAAGTAGCCTACTTAATATAGATTATTTACAAGCAAGAGTGGTTGCTGGCTGCTGAATTCAGCTTTCTCCATTCCCACAATCACTCCAAACCAAACTCTGTCAGAGTTATTCACCAAAGTGAATTTCACAATGAAAGGTCCAAATAGCCGAACAGGAGAAATTCTCTGTCATCTAGGTTTGACTTTTCTGGCTTTAGATTTGGAATTCACTTTGAATTCTCACATTATCACAGCCTGTATCATTTCAATTATGAAAAATAGTTTCTATGTATTTTATTGCAATGCCAGAATTCTTTATAGCACTTATCAGTTCAAACATGTGAAACTGGACGACGCCAATGCAAATATGTCTCGATTCCATTATATTTAACATAAAATAAACACACCTACAGACCACATATTAAAGAAAAGTAAATATTGCATCATTTAGTTCATGAATACTGGCTTAAAAATTAACTCAGTTGTAAAAATCTTTCTTATTTAGGTCCACATGTATTCATTGTGTAGTAGTGGGGTATGGAGTCTATTGGGGGTATTCGGGATTCAGATTCATTGTGTAGTAGTGGCGTGTAGAGTCTAGCGGGGTATTCGGGATTCAGACTCGTTGTGTAGCAGTTGGGTGCAGAGTATATTGGGGGGTATTCTGGATTCAGACTCATTGTGTAGCAGTTGGTTGCAGAGTTTATTGGAGATATTTGGGATCCAGATTCATTGTGTAGCAGTTGGATACAGAGTCTATTGGGGATATTTGGGATCCAGATTCATTGTGTAGTATTGGGGTGTGGAGTCTATTGGGGGGTATTCGGGATTCAGATTCATTGGGTAGCAATAGGGTGCGGTGTCTATTGGGGGTATTCGGGATCCAGATTTATTGTGTAGTAGTGGCATGCGGAATCTAGGGGTGTATTCGGTATTCAGATTCATTGTGTGGTAGTGGCGTGCAGAGTCTAGGGGGGTATTTGGGATTCAGACTCATTGTGTAGCAGTTGGGTGCAGAGTCTGTTGGGGGTATTTGGGATTCAGACTCATTGTGTAGCAGTTGGGTGCAGAGCCTGTTGGGGGTATTTGGGATCAAGATTCATTGTGTAGTATTGGGGTTTGGAGTCTATTGGGAGTATTCAGGATTCAGATTAATTGTGTAGCAGTGGGGTGCGGAGTCTGTTGGGGTTATTCAGGACTCAGATTCGTTGTGTAGTAGTGGGAAGTGGAGTCTAGGGTGGTGTAACGGCCACCCTGCTAGTAGAGGTGTTTCTGCCGCCAGAGATGTCCTTTCCACCTAGAGTAGAGAGTGCTGAAGTATTCCCGACAATTAATCCAAGCAGTGAAGAATAGGTATAGCTGTGAAGCTCTTATAAGAGCTAGTGTTTATAGCTTGTATAGCATGTCCCTACAAACACGAGGCGAGGCTCTATGTTGAGGGTAAAGCAGGCCTGGTTTAATGGTAGCCACACTGGCCTTTTATGCAAGTCCCATAGCAAGGGGTATGCCCACATGGACCTTGTTGGGGACAGTGACACAAACTTACAAACCAATAATAACAGTTATATTATAAGGCACTCCCACACATGGCTTACAATCCCTCCCCTCTGTGTGGGAGATAATTGAGTCAGATACTGTATTAACCCAATTATCTCCAGGCAGAAAAAACACCTATTTTTACAAAGTCCCCAAAAGTACGCCAAAACACACAATATCCCCACACATCCTCTGATAGCCCTGATCTGGGTGACCAACATATCCAAAATTCACCCAGATCAGTTCAGGAGCTCAGGAATTTCCTGGGAGTCACATTTTGACGGCTGCATGCAGGGGCGGAATGACAGGTCAGGCATATCGGTCATGGACCGAGGGCCCGAGGCAGTCAGGGGGCCCGGCAGCACAGCCATGCTTCAGCTGTGGAGATCAGATCAGAGATCTCCACAGTCAGAAGTAAGTTATGCAAAGAAAGTGCTGTAAGAAGGTTGCAGGGGCCCATAATGACTCGAAGGGCCACTGCAACCCCCCCTGTGAGACCTGGCAGCACACCTCTCACTGCCAGGTCTCCTCTCTCTCTCTCCGTGCAGCACTCAGTGCTCCGTGTGAGGATGGGAGGCAGGGGCAGGGAGTGACATCATGCCCCCTGCTTCCCTCTCACACGGAGCACACATACAGCATGGATGGAAGGTGTGAAGGACCCTGGCCTGCCCCACTGCTGCTGGAGGAAGATGGAGGGAGGAAACCATCACATTGTACAGGTAAGCAGGCCCCCCTCATATATACATTGCCCCCCCATATATAAACACTGCCCCCCCCATACACACACTGCCCCCCTCATATATATACACTGCCCCCCAGGCCCGGACTGGCCATCGAGCACACCGGGCAAATGCCCGGTGGGCCGCGGTGGCCATGGGCCGAGGCCGGCAGGGGAGGTCCCAGGATCTCCCCTGCCGGTCTATGCAGGGCCGGCGCTATCCGAGCGCCGTCCCCGCTGTTTTCCATGGAGGGCCGGTGGGGAGATCAAAGATCTCCCTCACCGGCCCAAATGCGGCCGCAGGCGGGGAGAGAGGGAGGGAGACAGCCAGGAGAGGAGGACCCAGCGGAGCTCTAGCTTGCAGCTCCACCGGGTTACTCTCTCGAGAGTGAACTCTAGCCCCACAGACTATGCGGGCTAGAGTTCACTCACCCACGAGGACCACCAGGGAACACCTCCACCCCACCTGCCAGTCCCAGCGTGCCGGTCCCCCCCTCCCAGGCTAAAGGTAAGGTAAGAATAATGCCTGTTTTTGTTTGTATTTTTTGTTTGCCCCCCCAACACACACACACAATCCATTCTAAAATTTATACAGCACACTCACACCCATCACACACAGCACTCTCACTCACATCACACACAGCACTATCACACCCATCACACACAGCACTCTCACACCCATCACACACAGCACTCTCACTCACATCACACACAGCACACTCACACCCATCACACACAGCACTCTTACACCATCACACACAGCACTATCACACACAGCACTCTCACTCACATAACACACAGCACTCTCACACCCATCACACACAGCACTCTCACACACAGCACTCTCACACACAGCACTCTCACACACATCACACACAGCACTCTCACACCCATCACACACAGCACTCTCATACACAGCACTTTCATACACAGCACTCTCATACACATCACTCTCACACACAGCACTCACTCACAGCACTCACTCACAGCACTCACTCACAGCACTCACTCACAGCACTCTCACACACAGCACTCTCACACACACAGCATTCTCACACAGCACTCTCTCACACACAGCACTCTCACACCCATCACACACAGCACTCTCTCACCCATCACACACAGCACTCTCTCACCCATCATTCTCACGTCACTCTCGCACACACAGCACTGTCGCACACCCCTCACATACACACAGAACCCCCCAAAACACTGCACCACACACATACACAATACTTCCAAAAAATAAATAAATAAATAATAATAAAAAAAATATATATATATATACACACACACACTACACTCTTAACATACACACTCTGGATCACCTATACACACACTAGATTCCTTGTAAGCAAACACATACTACACCCCTAAACACACACATACTACACCCCTAAACACACACTACATCACCTATATACACACACACACACACACACTATAGCCTGTATGCACACACTTGCTATATCCCCAATACACACATTCTCTACAGCCCATAGCCACATATGCATCACATTACACCACAAACACAACATGACTAAAACCAACCTTATTACACAATACCACACCACAATCAGCTCACTCTACACACACGCAATACCACAAGCAGGCTCCAAACACATGCACAATACTCTTTCCTGGCCCTTTTGTCTCCTGGTATCCATTTATAGAGACACCAGAGACAAGTTGCAAGGAAACACAGTGCAAGCATGTTATTAAATTTGCTTGCACTGTGCAGAACAAATACAGGGCTTTTTTCTCATGCTAGAGCTCTTCAGCAGAGCTCTGCGCATGGTCTGCCCTGGAAGAGCATTGAACCAACATGCTCACTTTGAGAGGAGGCGTGTTTGTCATTGGTGATGACAAAACACACCTCCTCTGCCCCGCCCCCTTTTTAGTGGGCCGCTGTGTTAAAAAAATGCCCGGGCCAAATTTTTCTC